AAACCATTCTATGGATCCTGTGATTCTACTACATGGATAACTTTGTGTCCCTCCTCAGTTTGCACAGCGCCTCCCTACCTGGTGTAACCCTTATTCTGTGCGAGGAAGGACTGGCAGAACTGAGGACTTTGAAGACCTGGCATGTCCCTGTGGGATGTGCCAGTTGGGAAAACAACAGGAATATATCAGGAGGGACAAGCTGGAAGGTGCAGTGTTTAAAGCGAGGTTAATTAACTGTTGGAGTAACTTGGTGGATTTACCGACACTCGAAGCCGTCGGATCAAGCTGAATTTACGTGGCCTGATGCAGAACTTTCTGGGTGAGGGTCGAGGGGCTGAATTTGGAGTCCCAGACGCATCATTTCCCTACATCAGCCCGTTCCTGGGGGCTGATGGGGCTCCCTGAGGATTCCTTTGGGGAACCCGGCCGTGCCCGTGAGCACATCCTTGAGGTGCCCAGGCTCCGAGGGGAGACTGAGCGGAGGGAGCCTGTGACAGCGACGTGTTAATATGATTAATGAGGAGCCCTAATTGTCACGGACAGCCCGTGCCGGCTCAGGGAAGCGCTCCGAGCGGCCCCGCGGCGGGCGGGGAGAGCATCCCCGGGGACCGGGGCGGCTCCGGCGGGGAACAATGAGCGGGGTTCGGCGGAGCGGCTGTACGGGTGGGATTTAATGAGATTTCCGAGTACTGACAAGAGCTGGAAGTGTTTAATAGCTCCGCTTTAAATTATTCATGGCCGGGCGGGGCCGGGCCGGGGCTGTGGGGGAGCCGCTGGGGCGGCGCGCGGCCGCCAGGGGGCAGCATCGCCCCGCCGGTGGAGCCAATGCCTTGGGATGGAGCCGGGATAGCGACCCTGGAACCGGGATAGCGACCCTGGAACCGGGATAGCGATCCTGGAACCGGGATAGCGATCCTGGAACCGGGATAGCGACCCTGGAACCGGGATAACAAAACTGGAACCGGGATAGAGACCTTGCATCCCGGGTAACGATCCCAGAACCGGGATAGCGACCCTGGAACCGGGATAGCGATCCTGCATCCCGGGATAACAAAACTGGAACCGGGATAGCGATCCTGGAACCAGGATAGCGACCCTGCATCCCGGGATAACTGGTACCGGGATAGCGACCCTGCATCCTGGGGTAACGATCCCGGAACCGGGATAGCGACCCTGGAACCGGGATAGAGACCTTGCATCCCGGGATAACAAAACTGGAACCGGGATAGCGATCCTGGAACCGGGATAGCGACCCTGGAACCGGGATAGCGACCCTACATCCCGGGTAACGATCCTGGAACTGGGATAGCGATCCTGCATCCCGGGATAACTGGTACCGGGATAGCGACCCTGCATCCCGGGTAACGATCCTGGAACTGGGATAGCGACCCTGCATCCCGGGATAACAAAACTGGAACCGGGATAGCAACCTTCCATCCCAGCATAACGATCCTGGAACCGGGATAGCAATCCCAGGATAACTGGTAACGGGATAGCGATCCTGCATGCCGGGATAACGATCCTGGTACCAGGATAGCGACAATCCATCCCAGGATAACCACTCTCCATCCCAGGATAACCACCCTCCATCCCGGGATAACCACCCTCCATCCTGGGATAACCACTCTCCATCCCAGAATAACCACCCTCCATCCCGGGATAACCACCCTCCATCCCGGAATAACCACCCTCCATCCCAGGATAACCGCTCTCTATCCCGGGATAACGATCCTCCATTCTGGCAAAGGGAGTCACCCGCTCAGGGCTCAAAAGCTGCCGCGGGCCGAGGGGTAACATCATCCCGGAATCACAGAATGCTGAGGGATGGAAGGGACTTGAAAGGTCATCCAGTTCCAGCCCTCTGCCAGGGGCAGGGACACCTCCCGCCAGACCGGGTTGCTCCAAGCCCTGTCCAGTCTGGCCTTGGACACTTCCAGGGATGGGGCAGCCACAGCTACGTTAACACCTGGTCTAAATCTCTCCTCCTTTAGTTTGAAACCATCCCTCCTTGTCCTATCACTGTCTGCCTTGTGTAAAAAGTTGCTCTCCCTCTTTTTTACAAGCCCCCTTCAAGTTCTATTGCTGAGCACCAGTCCTGTTTATAGAGGTTTAGCCCTGAAATGGAGCTCTGTGTTAGTCAGTTTGCAGCAAGGGGTATGGCCAAGAAGTTGTTCACTCTTGCTCTTTTCTTGATTTTTTTTTTTTTTTTTTGTCTCTGGTTCCCCTCAAACTCAAGTAGCAGCACTTTTCAAATACAGGCAGTGACCAGACTAGATCTTTTTTTCCCCTCCTCTTCTAAGAAATGGCAGATGTTGCTCTGTTTTCTCCTGTTCCCTTATTCAGTAGGAGGTAACATTTTAACCAGGCTGACAGTGAGGTTGGCAAATCCCCCTGTACAGTCCATGGCCCCCAAACTGCTTTCCTCTCTCACCCATTGCTTTGCAGAGAAGAGGAGTCTTTTGGGGGATGCACTGTTGTATTATAAGTGAGGAATTACTGAGAATGGAGAAATTAAGGCCTTTTAAATATTTAATGGAGGGAGGTTTTCTAAATTATTTAATAGCTTATTATGAAAGATTGCATAAAATGGTTTAGTAATTTATTCTTTACAGAAAGTGGCCTTAAGAAGCATTTTACAACATGTAAATATTGGTAGGAAGTGCACCTAATTTAAAATGCTATCTTACTCCAACTGTCAAAGGAATTATACAACATCCATACAGTTTTCAAATAACTTTAGACCTTTATTGTTTCTGTTCTTGAAACACTTCTCTGGCATAGGGAAATGGTGTTTATACTGATTTTACTGAAGTGCAGAGGCACAGAGAACAGGCTGTGCTGAGGCTGAGGCACAGCAGATCTGACCATGGCAATTCCTTTCAGGTCCCAGAACCCATAGTTTTTGTTTTGGGCGTGTGGGTGCCCTAAATACTGACACAGGGGAGTTGTGTGGCCTCCAGGGTGACTCGTGCAAAGCAGGAGCTTCATGACCAGCCCAGGTGTAAATGCTGAGACTGGAGCCCTTCCCCTCTCCCATTCCCTCTTCCACTGTTCACAAAATACACACAAAACATGGCTTTGCCTTGAAAATCCTGGAATTCCTTTTACCCTTATTAACCAAGTGAGCCTCTTGCTTCTGTTCTGACCTGTCTCCTTTACTGACTTAAACCACCTGAAGTTGGTTTCAGGAGTTTGCCTTAATCTCCCCTCAAACAACCCTATTTTTTAAAGAAATATCTCTGCCTGGGAGGCATCAGAAAGCCCCAAGATATGCTGGTGGCTGTATCATCTCTCACTTTTGCTGCTTCCATTTAATTAGAATGAGTTGGAATAATCAATATTTCCTTGCCTTTTACAAGTGTTTAACATGTGTTTGCAGAACAGGTTACTGCAACATTAGTCTTTACCTCTAGGTGCATCTACACAGGGTTTTATTTTCCTCTCTAATAAAAATTATGGAACAGATAAGCACTAAAACCCAGGTTAGAGTATTGCAGTATTGATTTCTGCAAGAGCACTGTAAGAATATATTTATCTACCTGTCCTATTATGAAATGGGTAAAAATGTACTACATAACCATTTCAGTCAATGCTATACTGAAAAGCCTCTTTGTTTGCTTCTTCTCAATAGGCCTTTTGAGGCACAATGTTTTTTTATTTTTATTTTTTATTTTATGTGTATTTGTGGAAGAAAGGATTAATACAGGGTGGTTGTGCTTTGTCTTAAGACATCTCTTTGTCCACATTTTGTTTTAATTAGAACTGTTGAGTTGTGATTTTGGCTCACTCTGAAACTCCACATTGGAAAGCGAAGAGAGAGTAAAATGTGATTAATTATAGTTTGCTGGCCTGGCACCTCTTTAATTCCAGCAATTACTCTATTTACCCATGGCATTCTGAACAAAAAGGAGCTGTTAAGGCCAGGCTGGATGGGGCTTTGAGCAACCTGGTCTAGTGGAAGGTGTCCCTGCCCGTGGCAGGGGGTTGGAATGAGATGATCTTTAAAGTCCCTTCCATCCCAAACTGTTCTGTGATTCTGCAAGTGTGTTGAGCCATGGGCTTTTCCTCATCCTGAGCTTCTGAGAGGTGTCTGCCTCCATGCTTTTATGACCCCAGAGATGCTTTGCCCTCCAATGTGGTGGTGTAATTTTGTGTTTCTTAAAAAACCAAATTTCTAATTGATCAAAAGAAGAGTGAAATTGAAAGAGTGGTGGAGAAGATGAGAAAAGATGATTGCCATCTCTCCCTAGTGAAGACCACGTTATTATTACCATCACAAATTGCACTGTGTCGTGCTTTCAATAGCACAAGGTCAAGTTGCGCCCAGGGATAGAAGTGAGGGAACAAATATAAACAATGAAAGCAAAGAGACTCAAATGTCTGTAAAAGGGAGTGTTTGAGCTCGTTGTTCTGTGGAATGTGTGCCAGTACTGCTGCAAAAGGGTCTCCATGCAATGATTTCAAAGGGTAACTTCTGGGTGTAGGTGGGCTGGGCGTGAGAGGTGATGCTGGAAGCAAGGGGGGACAGAAGTGTCAGAGGGTGCAGCAATGCACTGGTCACACAGGCACCCTGCTGTGAAGACAATGAAAGATTCTTTTTTTCCCCCTTTCTCTGATAATCTCTGGTTCCTACTGTTGGAGGCTTCGTGTAATCACCTGGAAATGTGTTTGCACTATGGTGGAGCCTTAGACCTTACAGCTTTCACAGCAATTGGGTGGCGAGAGGGCACATGGATATAAAACCCCAGCAAGGTGCTTGTTCTGTTTGTAATTCCTAGTGCAGCAAACTCTGCCTTCAGTTAACGTGGTGATAATTCAGAGCTGCCTTACCACAATTTCTCTGTGTTCTTGGGAAGAACAGAGCAATACAACTGCTGCCTTCTGCCCTGGACTGCACTGTAGATGGCACTGTGAAACAATGATTTTGGTTGCAGAGATGTATTTTACAGCACCATTCCAGACGTTAATTGCAGTGTAATATGGCTTTCTTTCTAGGTCCCCAAAGTGAAGGAAAAATTCTGAGATGCAGAAAGTCTTATTTGCTGCTGCAAATGGGAATCTGGAATAACTATGAAAAACACACTGAAATAATTGTGTTTGACTGGAACAAAATTCTTGCAAAGTCCCCAAGGTAAGAGCACTTTTTATCTTTCAAATGACACTGAAGATTTGCTGTTCTGGTGAGCAACAATATCCACTTGAATCCAATAGAGAATGAAGGCTTGACATTTCTGCAAGCAGCAGCCCACTGACGCTGAAGGGCTCAGCACCCCTTGCTGCATCTGTCTGCCAAATTTCATTTTTCTCCTGCCTTTTCAAAGATCCTGTTGTATTTCTTTACATTAGCAGGCTGAGAACTTGAGTCCTGTCTACCTGCAAGGCAGACAAAAGTCTGAAAATGTATCATTTGAATGGTACTGGATGCTTTTAGCAGCCTTTCAGTTTGGATATAACAAAGTTGATGCCTGCTAGTGATACACTTATTCCTGGACTTGAATATTCTTGCAAAGGGGTAAGGTTACCCTGATGAACCCTGGTTTCACATTCCCTGTCTAACATCACAGCATGGCTTCATAATCTGGGAAAGCTTTTGAAATTATTTCAGCACACAGCCGTTTCCACTAAGACCAGTTTTGCTCCTGCACTGGGAACAGTGGGAACACCTGGGTTCACTTGATTGCTGAAACAGCAGCTGATGAGCATACAGTGCATGACTTGAGACCAAATACCTGCCCCTTCCATTAACTCCTACCAGTAATGGCACGTTCAAAATGCCTGATCTGTGGTATTTAATTCAATGGGTTAAATCCTGCTTTCAGTCACACCTCAGGAAACCTGTAGGACTAAAGTTCCTGCCTTTGTTATGATACCACAGAGTGACAACAGAGCTGGAGTCTCTGCTATTTGGGTCATATTCTGGTGTTTGTATTTAGAGCAACAGACAGATGGGATTGCAGGATGAGCAGATGATGACATCCTGTTAGTGATAACTGGTGCATGAGCTGTAAGCTGTACGTTTCTCATGGAGAGAGTAAGAAAATTACGATTAAATTCATCTCTCTCCTCAAGCAAATGAGGTTCAGTTACCTGGGAAAAAAATGGTACATTGATTTCAGAACTTACTAGGCAGTTTTCTTAGGCTAATATTGGATCACCAGCAATAATAACATTTATGCTGGTTTCACAGTGGCTCAATCCCATTAGCTGCAGTGGCATTATGTGGTTCAGCTGGATGCAAGAGGTGAATTAGGTTCAGCTGCTCTGAATTAGCCTGGGAGTGCTCCATAAGAGGGCACTTACAGGGTAGGCAAGGACCTGTGATGTCTTTATTTTCTGAGCTGTAGAAGACCCTCAGTGTGTTCCTTCCTGTACTGGTTCATTTGCATTCAGGGTGGCAACACCGGGCTTGAGATGGAGCACCTTCTTAAAGCCAAAAAAAAGGTATCATATTGTCAAATCAGTCTTTAAAATGTGGAGTCTTTACGTGTAATCTTTGCTTTCTGAGATTTGTAGACATGGTGAGCTCTTTGTTAACAATATTTGTGTAATTTTTAAAAGGTTTGTAGGCTGGACTAAAGTCTATAAGGACAGCTGAAGATGCTGGGGTTTGCACCAATGTATTTCTTTCTCAAGTGTAAAACAGTATTTGTTGCTTAAATACATTTACATGCAGCAGGCTTTTGGTCTCTTAACTTTTGATGTTAGTAAGTGCTTTTGTGATTTATTTGGGCTTTATTAAGATTCACAATAAGGAACAATATTGTTTTAGGAAGTGTGAAAGTGGAAATTATGCAAGCATTTCTAAATGAGGAAACATGGCCTCTGCTTTAGTTTTGTTTGTAGATGTTTATCAAATTTAAACAACATCCAAGTGCTTCACCTGGCTGTGACAGTAGAGCTGGTTTTTTTTTCTTTTTTTTACTATCCCTATATTCAGCCCTTGAATATTGGATTAACTTAATAGTCTCAGATATCTTTAAAGATAAGCAGATAAACAAATTATTTGGGACATACTTGGAAGAACCTGAACTGGAATCCACAGGGGGAAGAAGTTCCCAAAGGACTTTTTGGTGCAACTAAATGTGCTTGTGATTGGCTTCTGCAAATCCCAGTATGCTGATTCACTGCAGACTAACATCACTGCTATAAAAGCAGTATTTAGTTCAATTTATGCAAATCTATAAATTGCCTTTAATTAATTTGATGTATTCCTGCTTACAGAATTTGCTGAAAGTGTGAAACGTGGTATCTAAGGGTTCAACTACATAATGCCTGTTTATGTACAACACAAGTAATATATCATCATAACTGAGTTTAAGAAGATGATTAGATTCCCTTTCTATATGATGAATGGCATAACACAAGCTATTGAGGGATTTAATTGTAGATATTTGCCGAAAAATTACTGAGGATTTGTGATCTTAGGTCTAACACTCAGACTAACAACTTGCACCTTCTTTAGAACAAGTGTTTTCTGAAACGCAGTTTTTTAACACCCTGGCAGAGAAGTGAGTCCTTGCATATTTGACTGAGGTGCTGGTTTCGTGAGTGTTTAACCCTCAGCAAACCTACTGGAAGGGAAAGCTCACAGATGTTGTGTGACTGGGAGGCCCAGCCCGTTCCTGCTCACGGCTACGCTGGAGCTGGTACCTTTAGCAAATGCGTCCTGAGAAGTGCTAAGTAAATATGGCAATTTTTTTTTTCTATGACTGGGGCAAGTGCAGTTTAAAAATAGTAGCATAGCTTATAAATGTGTGTATTTAAATTTGAGTGTGGCTGGATCTTAATAAAACCCAAAACAACCCACACTTTATCTCAGATTCATAGAAATGTATTGCACTCAAATGTGTTATTATAAATATGTGTTTGTGGGTAATGTGATGTGTGATAGACATTGTTTTGCTTCTAATTATGAAATATTATTAACAAAAACTGATGCCAACTGAATCATGAATATGATTTTGTCAGTGGTGCCTTGTAATAAGTCATATTGGTTATTCGTCAGCATCATCTCAGCTTTCCTTCCCCACATTGTTTTTATGTTATTCCCCACTCACATTGTTCTCTCACTCAACTGCTTCCTTTTCTGCCTCCAGGATGAGATTCTGTGCCAAATCAATGCTTCTCTCTGACTGGCTCTTTCTGGTCTATGTGTTAATGGTCTGCTGTAAATTGTTGTCCGCCTCTAGCCACCATCCCCGGGGGCACACAGGTAGGAGCTTTTAAACTCATTATGTGCTACTGAGACCAATTAATACCTCTTGCAGCATGTCGGAGCCCACTTTTTTAGCAATGGATAATTGATGAAGCTGTTGACAGCATGTTATAATCAGTGCAATAGGTTAAAAATATAACACCAAGAAAAGAATGAGTTATTGTAAATTTTCATGGTTTTCTTTAGTAATTTTATGTACTGAAGCTCACCAGACAGGTGGTTTTTTTGAGTTACTTCATGACTGCTGGGCTTTGGGATTTGTTTGTGTCATTTTGCTTTATCCGGATCCAAAGACATTTTGAAATGCATCTTTATCTTCTCCCTCTTAATCCTGTTGTTATCAACTGACTTTACAACGGTTGCATTGGCTTTGGTGGGCAATAGATCAAAGCCTTCAGATTTATCTTAGTCAGTTCCTTCACTGAGTAACACAAATTCTGAACAGCTTGTGATGTGCTCCTTCTTTTCCTAACTTGCATAGTGAGGCAAACAGAAAGATCTCTCTTTTAAGGGGCTGTACTGTTGTAGTAGGGAATTATCTCTGAGGCTCAATGGGTTATCACATTATAAGTGACTGAAGTAGCTCAGAACAAGCTGGGTTGGCTTCATGGAGAGATACCAGACTGGATCTCTGGAGCAACATCTCTGCTTTAGGATCATGCAGACAAGTCAGCTTGAAAGCAGAATGAGAGAGATGCACCTGTGCTAATGCAAAGGTGTCTGTGCAAGTCCTAAATAAAATGGGAGAGCTGTGCTAAGGTTGTGTCACCAGGGAGAGATAAGTTACCAAAATACCTCTTGGAGCACAACTTCTCAGGAGAGGCCAAAAGCCTGGCTGCAACACCACGATGATGTCTGAATTCTCAGCACCACAGTCAGCTTCGTGCCGGCCTGGGGACTTCAGCAAGTGTTGCTGTTTGTGATGTTGTCTTATTCTTAAATTAGTCCTAGCATCCATATGTAATGTTTTTAGCTCTGAGCCAGATGAGGGATGAATTCAGGCTTTGGGTTTGACAAATGCTTTGCTCTGGTGTCCTTTAGATCAAGCAGTTGTAACCTGCTTGATACATGCTGATACAGGTGGGAAGCTGCTCATGAGGCAGGAGGTGCTGAGCCTGGGATACTGTAGGAGGAGCTGGGTTTTAGGAACATGTTGTGCCTTTTCCTGACAATCACAGTGTTTCAAGTGATGTACTTGATGCCATCAGCTCCTTTGAATCAAATGCATACTCGCTACAGCTCAGAAACTGTATTAGCTGAGAGCAGACAATAGAATTTAAGATGAAGACGGGGATTGACTTTTTCTTTTCAAAATAGTGCCATTTTAAAGGAGCCTAATCTGGTAAAAGACAATTATTGACTTGGGTCCTGTTAGATGGTGCCTGAAAGAATAACCTTCAACAGCTGTCTCTGCAATATTCAGTCAGGAACAGAGACTAGATCTTAAGGATCCAATAACCATCCTGTTTCTGAGAAGTGGGAGAAAACACCATTGACAAAGGGGACTTCTTCACTGTAATAAAGTGTAAGGCAGACCTGGTTCTTTCTTTTGTTCTGTGAAATATTCACCACCATCAAATGACTGTTAGGAGAGAAAGAGACTGTTCAATCCTGCCGTTGCTTTGAAAAAGTTTGGATCTCGAGCCCAGCTTGGAGGTTGCAGCCTATTTTTCATTGGAACACTGTAATTGCATTGACTGGCAGAGTTAACTAGGCAAAAGGTAGGCAAGAAATGTTCCTTCTCATTACCACTGGATTGTTGAAGATGCTGCTTATGCAGGTTATTCCAGCAGCCTCCCTGTGCATCTGTGTGGAGAAGACAAGTCACAATGTTCATCTGACTTTGTTGCTCTGAATTGCTTTCCTGAAGAGTTTTTCTTTTGCACTAACAATAGCCAAGGGAAGCATAAGCACCAACCTTACTGTAGCTTTTGGGCAGTATTTCAGGCTCCTGGACTGCCTCATACTGATATAATGATCAATTCTATGCTGTGCTGGATGAAGCAACGTACATTTAGTAGCAGAAAACATTTGTTTCCACTTCACTGCTGTAAGTCAAAATCCACAAATGAAGAAGCACTGAAAAGACACTTTGTCATGTGGAGGCTGGACTTGCAGCCCATCAGCTGGTACAGCTGAGCAGTTTCTGCCAGTGCAGCTTGGCTTTTTTGAGACTGCCTGTTTTATGCAATGATGCTCACCTGAAGTGCTTCCAGCTGCCTTCTGCTTGTTGAAAGGTCTAGATTTTTGAGAAGTCCATTATTATTATTATTAATATGCCTGGAATCCCTATATTTAACGAACATCTGTAGCTTAAAGCAGAGCCAAATTGGTTCACATTTCCCTTTTCTTTGTGATTTCAAGTGAAGAGTTCAGTGATAGCCCGAATGGTTTGCTTGCTTACTGCAGCTGCAGGATGATGCAGATCACAGGGATAAATCATGGTGTGTGGGTGCACTGGGACAGCTTGTTCTTTTAGCCATCTGGAAGAATAAGGAGCAACTTTGTTTCCTGGAGTTTTCCCCTTGTTGCATCTCAGGCAGCTTTATTTATGGGGTTATCAGAGGTTAAAAGGGAGAAGTCTAAAAACAGCAGTGGCAGGCAAATAGATGTGATCCTACCAAACCTAGTGACCCTTCTGTCACCCTGGGGATATACACACCTCATGGCCCTCATGAGGGAGGAATAGCAGTCCAGAACAGGTAAAAAAGCTTAATGAGTTGTCAGTGTGGGGTGTGTTATCAGGCATCAGGTGATGAAGAAATGAACATCACTGTTCCCCTGAAGGATGACTGAGGGGTTCAGTGGTGCTGTTGGACTGGGCTCAGGAGCTGAGTGGCAGCTGGGGGTGTGTGATTATGGGAACAGCCAGCAGAAGGTTGTTCCTTTATGCACAGAATAGCAGATCATGCTGAGGAACATATCAGACACTGGTTTGGTCTGCAGCACCTTCCAAACCTGCTTATTTTTTTAACTCTGAGTGTGAAGTGTCATCATCAGCTGGAATTCAGACCTCTTGATCATGCTTTTGGTTTCAGGTGGTCCCGTAGTGGACTGGATTGTTCCATATTGATTGCAGTTTTTCACAGATTAAAGGACATTTTTTTCCCTATACTTTCAGTACTTTAGGGACAGGTTCTGTCCCCACTGGAGTCAGAGGAAAAATTCCTTTTTACACAGCTCCAGGATTTAATCTGGGCTTAAGGGAGAGCTAAGTGTCTGAAAACCGAAGCTTTGTGTTAGAAATATTGCTGCTTTCAAGGAAACAGGGAAACCAGAAAACTTGGTCTTCTTGTTCTCCCCTTATTTTTGGTTTGGAACGTCATTCTTCCCAGCAGTGCTGTCTGGCAGCCACGGGCTGGGTTCCCAGTTCCACCAGAGGGCCCTGCAAGGCTGTGGAAGGGGCTCCAGCACGAAGCCACTGCGCTGATTTAAACTCCAACTCTGCATTTTGCTAACTAGAATTATGAGTCCTTTGTATTTCAACGGGTCAGACATGGTTACTGCACAATAAGCTTTAGCCCTTTGTTCTGTTTAACTCCTTTTATGTCTTAATGTTTTATTCAGTGTGCTATTTATGTGGTTTATTATCCAGCTTCTAAATATAGGGCTGCTACAATATACAGCCCTGACTGTAATCTCTTCAAGTAATAAGGTAGAGAAAGCAATTCAGTTGAGAAATAGGTTTCCTTTAAGTCAAAAGGAGCAGAATTCTCTCTGTGAAGTTTGCTGGTATATTTGTTTTTGAGGAAGAAAAAAAACCCATAAGAAATTCTTATTATTTTGTTTTTTTTTTTTTTTTTTTTGGTCTTCAATAACAATTGGAACTTTTAATATATATGACACCAAGTCAGTGTTGATTTATTCTTTTATAGGGTAAAATGTAGCTTCTGGTGTCGTTTTTCATGAATGTGCACTGTAAGTGCTTGGAATGTAATTGTGTATGAAAAGATTTGTATATTCCAGGGAGATGGGGTGGAGGGAAATTACAGTGAATGTGCAGGTTTTGTGTAACAGATTTCATCGTTTCAAAAGTGTGGGGAGAAACTTTGTAACAAAAAGAAGATGAAGTCTCATTTAATGCAAATACTCAAGCCCAGTGTACCAACCTGTAGAGCAGGAGGCTGAAACCAAGCTTTTTCCTCCAGTATCAAAGTGACCTTATTTTAAAGCCTTTAGGGGAAAGAATGTGAAAATATAGCCTTTATTTTATTAATTTTACATTGACAGCATCATTTTTTTTCTATATCTGCCACCTGCAGTAAATGATAATCTCTATAGTCTATTGAGCAAAATTCTAACCAGGAAACCTTTCTTTACTCTTGTCTTCTAAATGTACCTCTCCCAAACTTAGAGTTGATAATAGAAAAGAAATATTGCATTGGAAATGGATAGGCTCGTGCTAATGTGTGGAGAAAGAAATGGTTGGATAAATGTAAATCCAGAAATAGAATGGAAAATATCTAGTCCTCAGTGTTCATTTGGGTGAAGTCATGCAATAAAAAGTGGAACATGCTTTGTTCTGGGTTTACGTGGAGGTCAACATGCAGAGTCCTTGGGAGGATGGGTACTTGAGTGATGAAGGCAATAGATTGAAATGTAAAGGACTTGCATTGAATTCTTTGCTCTGAAATGATTAAAAGGCCTGCCTAAGATGAAGTCCTGACCCCACTGAAGCAGAAGGTTGTGATTCTTCTGTGATTTAGTTTCCAGCCTACTCTGGATATGTCATATGGCTTTTGGTCCCAGCAGAAAAGTTAGACTTCATAGTTATGACTTTATTAACGCTTAAGCCACTTATTCTTACAGAATTCATCATTCAGTGCTTTGCAAGTCACTGCCACTGTGAGGGATGGGAAGTGCTTTAGGGCCTGCTCTGCTATTGATTGGCTCGTCTGTGCTCGCTGCCTGGGCTGCGCTGCCACAGCCTGACAACTGCATTAATTGTGATGGCAGCACAGGGCCCATCCCAGACTTACAGTCCCATTTCAGTGGCA